CTTTAAAGTTGGGGAGGAAAATTACCTTTTCTAAGATTATATTGAGTATTAAATCTGGTATTAAAAGTGAGCTTGTTGGAAAATCCAATTGTAGAATTTTATATTTAGTTAACAAGACTTGAATGCCTTGAAAATTACATAGAACTTTTGTAAACTATATATATAATATACAATAATTTAACTCAAGGTTTTTCTTTTAATATATTTCTTGAGCATGTGTTAAGGAAATCTATGCTAAGCTCAAGAAGATTTCTACTAAACTGAGAATTAACAAAAAAATAATTTTGAGTTGAGTAAAAATTCTCCAAAATGAAAACTTTAAATTTTATAATATATATAAATATATATATATATATAATGTTTTATAAATATAACTATAAATATATAAGCTGATGTTAATTATATTTCAAAGAAACTGAATATATATAATGATGTTTTTATATTTGTCTTAAATAACACTTTATATATATTTTAGCTAAATTTTCTAAACTTAAAATGAAATCTTAAAGATTCTCACTTAGTTTGAAAATACTTGAGGCAAGTATGCGCACATAGAGCTATTAGGTTTATTGGATACTCTACCTCATAACAATTGAATTGCGCTTGATTGGCTGTTACTTACACAAAGAGCACAGCTGCTGCAGCTGCTGCCGCAGCGGCAGCAACATGGCGATACTGTTACGTGGCGGCTGCGGCTGCCGCAACGGCAGCGGCGGAGGTGGAGCTGACCAGATGCTGGCCATGATGATGACTATGATGGTGATGGTGATGCTGGTGATGGTAGGCGCCATTACTGCTGCTGTGTGCCGGCGGTGGTGTTGTGGGCGTTCCGGAACGCGAACGCTGCTGATGCTGGCCGGGCGTTGCGATCGTGGCCACGGTCGTGACCGGATTGGGTGAGGCAGCTGATTGGATGGTGCCATTACTGCTGGCGGGACGCGACGATTGCTTCTGATGCGGATTGGATGCTGAGATGCCGGCGCTGGTTGGACTGGGCGGCGTCCGGCTGAGGGCGAGCGGTTCGGGCGTCGGCGGCCGAATCTGTGTCAGCGGCAGATGCGTAAAATGGGTGCCATAGCGCTCGATGCTGGGGTAGGTCAGGTACATGGGCGCTCCGCTCGTATGTAAGCCGATGGCCATCGGTGTGTAGTAGTTGTAATAGATTTGCGCTACAATTCGATTTATTTCTACACGCGCTGTGGAAACGAACAAAATGTAATATCAATAACTTATTGTGAAATATGGTCACCCTGGCGTCGTTAGATGGCGCCACACAATCAGCAGTCTCAGTCGCGGCCGCAGCCGCAGCCTGCTTTGGAAACATGCTGATAAAGTTATTACTGGACGATTTGAAATATATATGTAAATATATGTATGCATCTATATAGTGCATATGTGCGTGCGCCCTCGCACGTAGACGAGTTTATTACTTATATCGTTAAATTGCGCTGGGTTTTCACACTTTTCAGCACATAACTTATAAACTATTGAAGCCATAACATTAACTATGCCCGGGCAGTAAAAGTCTATGTCCCGGACCAAGGTACATACACACACACACGGATCGTTGTGGCATGCACTTTATGTGCAACCTTCACACACACACACTCGCACACAATGGACCCATTCTGTTAAGCCCATCCCCCGTAAGAGGCAGAACCTTTGTTTGCCGCACCCAACACCTCGCACCCGGTCGCAGCCCCAACCACCCCACATCGACTTATCTATGTGGCAAAAACTTTTCAAAATTTTACTGCTTGCTGCAACATCAAAATGCCAAGTTTTTACGATTACGTTGCTGCTGCTGCTGCAATTTTACTTAATTTTAATGGGATTTTTTCTTCCGCCAACTGCAGAATGCATTAAACAGAGCCCAGGCACACGGGAATATTACGCACGAGTGTGCCACAGGCCCGAGCAAAACGGCATACGCACATACTTCTGTACATAGAGATGTACGTGTACTCTAACCTACCATTTATGTATTTGACCAAAAACCTGGGCAACAACTAATACTCATACTAATTCCAGTCCGAAATAAAAAGTCGTAAACTTTGAACAAGCCCGCACATTAAAATTTTTGCTGGGCTGGGATTAATTAAGTGAGTGCATCTTGAGCAGCAGGTCAAAGTTCTGTGTGAAAATAGCTAAACAGTAGTATGTGTGGTATGTGGAGAGTTAAGAGTTCTTTTTTATCTATTGGTCATGTATTTCGGATACGACTGTTAAATTTTTATTGAACACCAGATTTTGAATTAAAGGGTGACCCCATGATGGCATTCAATATTCCTGCTCGCAAATGTGAGGTGACCTCACAATTGATTTTAAGGCGCAATTCAATAAGTAGGTGGCGCAGCCAACTTAGTGCTCAGGGCTGCCAGACTGTTAGCCAGAATGACTGTTATTTATTTAATTCAATAAATTGTTATTTAATTTTAATCAGTTTACTGTGCATGTGTGATTAATAAACCGGTGGAGTTTTAAGTTATAGAAGATTTTTAAAACTTTTTTTCAATTTAAAAACGGTTTGTCTTTGAAATTTTATTTGTAAGCAATGTGGCAAGTCATGCTAATCACATATTTAAGCCATGTGGCAGCAGCGTGTTATATTATTTAATTTAGAATTAAAAGTGGAAAGAATTTAAGATAAGCTCTGAAAATGTGAAGTGTTTTATTTTGTTAAGCAACTGTGTGCCACGCAGCGGTTTTAATCAGCAAGTTTGCAGGCCACAAAACCTTGGCACTAACTTCACGCATCACTAGGTTAGCTGGCGGCAGCAGATGACAATAAGAGCATCCGCAGCAGCAGTAGCAGCAGCGGCAATCAGCTAAAGCTCGGTCAATTTAATGGAAGTGGCCATGTCCAGCCACATTTATGACAAACTGGCTGCTTATTATTAAGCCAGAAAGCAAAACGGCCAAGGAGTTGCCAGCGCACAGCACTAATATATCATGACTCGCTTTCCTTACATGTACATGGACATATATATATATATATATATACACTTAAAGAAATTTGTTACTAAAAATGTTGTATGATTGGATGGCAATTGCTAATAATTCATTTAATCAATTAATTTACAGTCGAAACTTGAAATTGATCTTGTTCAAATTTCGATGTTGTTTGCCATAGACTTGCAAACAAAATTCTCTGAGTGCTTACGTATATGTTTGTATATCTGTTGTCTGGCACTAGTTGGGACATGCATGTTACTTGTCGAGCCGTAAAATGTCAGTAGTACGAGTACAAGTGCTGTATGGGCCCTGCCAGTTGACGCTGCACAATTTTTTACGACCCGCCCACAATATGAAGTCGTAAAGTTGAAATTTTTCGCTTCCTGCTGTTGCTGCTGCTCCCGATGATGGCAGCGCTTTTCTATAGTATTTAATAAGCATTGGCAAATAGAACCCAGTCTTCCTCTTGATACTCATCATTTTTGTTTTGCTGGACTGCTAAGCTGAAGGAATTTGTAGTATTCGTCCCGAGGGCAGGGTTAAAACACATTCCACATCATCAGCTGCATCTCTCTCGCTCTGGCAAAAAAGTCTATTTTATGGGTTTACATAGCAAAGACAGGGCTTAAAAATATGACCGAAACAAGAATGAGAAATGTGTCATAAAAACTGCCGTAAGCTGACTCATTTGCCTAAATGGGCGTGAAGGATCATAAATAGTGTGAGCAAAAACTAAGAGCTGTGGGCAATGGGCTTACCAAAGGTTAGTTACGAATAGAGAGTTATATAGATAGCGGAAACTATAACTAGTTATTTGCTAAGAGTTGTCTTTGTGACGAAGATAAATGCTCAATAAACTTTATCCAAGGGGACTTTCAACATTTTTGATAATGTTAAATTCTATGATATCTTATTGATCATTTCGATGACAAGCTGCTTATACACTTCTTAGAAGAATTGGCCATAGAAATTAACAAGTTTTTGCTTCTAAATCGTTTTTGCACAATTTGCAATCTATATGTGCCGCCAACCCGTGAGCCATTCAAGCATAAACACTTTTAAGCTTTATAGCGCACACATTTACACGTCGCATTGCCTATTCGAAGTAAACCCCATTCTACCTTTTCCCATCCACATCCACATACCCTTCCCCTTTCCTTTTCTTCTTCTGCTACACAGCTATACACCGCTGCCGTCTGTTCATCCCACCTGGATGAACGTGTTTAGTGGCAGCAAACGACGCTGCAATATTATTGTAGCTACTACCTGGCAGCTTTCCCATGGAAATGCCTTTTGGGGTACTGAGAAGATGGGATTGGGATTGAGCTAAGCTGAAGCTGACGCTGACGCTGAAGCTGAAGCTGGAAGCCTTTCAGTGACGGTGTTGGCAATGTCGTAAATTTTTCGCATGCATTTTTCGGTTTAATGATGCATTTACGATGCTAGCAGCGGCGACTACAACAACAACAACAACGCCAGCACCACCAGCCCCAACTCCAGCTTTGGCTGCAACTTCAACTCCAGCTCCAGCTCCAGCTACAGCTGCAACTTCATTTGCCCTGGCAGTGAAACGCTGCGACGTGTAACGGTTCTGATGAAATGGCAAACAACTTGAGAAAGCAATCGTTACAATTTTTAATGTTATTCACGAAATCAAAAACAGGCAGCTGAAACCCTCTCGCCACCCCATCTTTAGATATTTGTGGGAAACTTCTCTCTTAATGCTGCCCATTTACTTTTGTTTAAGGAAAATATTTTTATTTTGTTTTTACATTGAATTGTTTGTTGTTGTTGTTGCTGTTGTTGCTGTAACTTGGCATATGCATTATGAACTGCTTAAATCAATAACAATATTTATACATAGTTCGTTAATAATTTGATATCGTTAGACATTATATAAACATATAGTATTTATCAAGACTGAATATCTTAAGTTTCTGTATTTTTACATAGTATAAATATTGAAACTATTTAGGTATTTTAGACTAATTCAAGTTCTGTTATTGGTTTTGCCATTATTTTACTGAACTTTGGAATTCTATAGATAGTTTTATAAGTTGTTTAATTAGGTATAGCAAAGATCTGATAGGTGTGATTTTTATATAGAAAGTACTTACAAAATGAATAATTTAAAATTAATTTTAAATCTAAAGTGAAGCTTAAAGAAATAAAATGTGCTCGAGTTTGGGTTAGGCTGGACCAAATGAGCAGTGAAAAGGAAATAATTTTGAAAGTTTTTCTTTTTTGATAAAGCGAACTAGTTTTGTGCTTGGATCTTAACTATGGTGCTATCAAATTGAGAAATTTGTTTATTTTGTAATATTTGATTTTGTTGATGGTGTTTGGTCCACCCAAACTCAGCTCAACTTAAGCTAACTTAAAATGAAATCTTTATATTAGTTATTTGAACTAAAGCTAAACAACCGTTCGGGTAAACTTTTACTAGAGTTGATCTGAGGATAGTTGAAAGAGCTTTTGGCATTCAGATTTGACAAGCAGTTGCGTTGCGTGTTGAGTAGATGGGTTTGTTGATTGTAGAGTAGTTAGAGTAGCTGGACATCATAATCGTCAATATCCATAGGGGGTATGTTGATTGAAGAGTGGCTTAAATGACATCACTGCCAGGGTATGTTGATTGAAGAGTGGCTTAAGTGGCGAAATCAATGCCATGGTGTGTTGATTGAAGAGTGGCTTAAGTGGCGACATCAATGCCAGGGTATGTTGATGGAAGAGTTGTGTATTTGGTTTGTTGATTGAAGATTTTAATATCCAAGTAAAAGTTGCTCGCTTACATTAAATTCGAATATATTTACAGAGGTTTTTCAATTCTTATTTTTTTGTGTATATTACTTTTTTAGTTTAAATTTAAAGCCCAATATTTTAATTTGTTGCAACTCGCGCGCGTTTTGCTGAAGCTTTAAGCTAAATATTAAATGGGCTTTTTCTTTAAGTTGAAGTCGACGAGAAATAAAAGTTATATATAACTAGATAAAATGTAATTTCTTTAAAGAGTTTTAATTCTGAATTTGATACTCAAACGGATTAACAGAACAATTATCATCCACATTGCCGCGTTGTGTAGCGTAGCTCACCCCCGTCATAAATATTTAAATTGTTTTGACGGGAGTATTCATTGACAACATATTGGCCTATCCAGATCGAAAGATACGTATGTAAATTGTATTATAGATATATATACATATATATACCGTAGAAGTAAGAGCAGTTTGTAAAACTTTTCGTTTTAGCTTATTTGCTTAATAAATAGTTGAAGTAGTTTGTCTCTTTTGGCTTACCCTCTTCGATGCGACGTGAAGCCTCATCGATATCTGCACCAGCATCCTTTAATATCACATACATGAGCGGCATCAGCTCCCACGGATAACGAAACTTCTCTAACAGCTTCTGACAATAGTCTAGGAAAACATCCTGGCCTGCAAATGAAACAAACAAAACCGATTTACAAATGAAACTCGATGACATTCTCTCCAATCTCGCACGTTCTCATGACATTCAAGTATCCGCTTGTAATCGAATACAAAGTTCGGCATGGAAAGCCATAAACAACTTATCTGGGACCCATTCGAAATATCAACATAAATAAATAAACTCAAATTGGAGACGGAAAACGCAGCGTATACGCAACATCCATTGATATTCTCAATTTTCAGCTGCTTGAGCGGTTTTTTTTTAATTTTATTTTATTTACGACTCTCCAAATGATACCCCATTGAAAGGGCCAGACGTGGCTATGCTAAATGTAAACATGGCGGCAAAAACGTAGGCACAAAATGAAACCCAATACAAACGCAATGCCTGAAGCGTTCCCACTGCCACTTCGGGCTGAGATCATCAGAGGGGAAAATAGATCGGAAGATCTTGTCTTATCAGTACGAACTGTCTGAGCACGCAAAAGCGAAACTTTTGTGTAATAAAGGGTTTGAGTCATGCAAAAATGTTTTTACTATCGTTAGAAAGCTGCCTAGATGAAATGAATTCTTAGCTAGCAGGCGAGGTCTTTCTGTCTTAGCTCTATTTTATGCCTTTTATGTTATCTCAAAATTTAGATGCTTTCACTCTAAATGATCTAGCCTTTCTAAAAAGCCTGTAGAGATGGAAAATTCTAGACTATACTAATAAAAATATAATAGCTTAAAGTACAAAAATAATAATTATACAAATGGGAAATTCAATGGCAAATGCAAAAGTATATAAATGTTTCTTGATTATTCAGAAATATTATGTATGTGTATATACACTTAATATGTATGTCTATATACACTTAATATGTATGTGTATATATATATTATATAAATGTAACGGTTGCTCTAATTCGTCGCATTGCTGCTGGCAATTTCTAGTCCAATCTTCGTCAGCTGCTTCGGGTTTTAGTTGCGCTTCTATACGCGCTATGTTCACTTAATGCGCTGCCATTTTTTCTTTTCTTTTTACCTACATAGCAGCAGCACCAGCAGCAGCAGCACGAACAACAACAATAATTGGAAGAAGACCAACAACAACAACAACAACAGCTTGAACAAATGGCAGCTGCTGCGCTGCTGACGTCGTCGTCGTCGTCGTCATCGTTGCTGTCGTCGTCGGTAGTTTCCGTAGTAGGCGGAGCTTCATAGTCATTGGCTCGTTTTATTATGTTTCTCTCTCTTCTTTTCGCCTTTTATGTGGCTGTTGTTGTTGTTGTTGCTGTTATGTTGTATGCAACTGCTGCGCTGAGTAGTTGGCGCTGTGCTGTTGTTGCTGTTCGTGTTGGTGCGGCGCACGTTTTGCATTGGTGAGCGAAGTGCCTGTACGTGTGTATGTGTATGTGTGCGTGTGAAACGTGTTTTATACTTTGCGTGTGTAGCTGTTGTTGTTGCCCTTGTTTAGTTTACATAATTTGTGTTGTATACATGTGTAGTTATGTATGCATACATGCATGTATGCATATAAGTGTGCGTGTGCGTGTGCGTGTATATACACCGCTTGCACGCACTGGTTGCTCTTGTTGTTGTTATCTATAATAATTCTCGTTGTTGCTGTCTTTGTACGCTGCCATTTTTAATTTAGCAATTAAGCCATTAGCCATTGTTTTTTTTCTTTTATTTTTATAAGCCATTGGCTTAACTGCATTTTATGTCTAAAAATTATTTTATTAACCGCATATAAATTTAATAAATTGATTTATTGTTGCCGCAGCGTAACGAAATAAAAAACAAAAACCATTTGATTGGCCAATTAGTTAGACCACTTTTAGACAGGCTAAAACAATATGCAAAAAATTGTTTAGCGCTAATTGGATTTGACATATTAGGCAGTGAAAAATTCATATTTAAACGGATTTTATTTAAAAACTAAATGAGAAATTTATTAGTTTGTGTAATATAATTAAATAATATATTTATTAATTTTTAGATGATATGATTGTATGGCCACACAGATATATGGATTATTTCTTTATAACTATTTTTTCTGTCCAATTTCTGTCCTTTTAAATACAGCTCGAATGTAAAGGCTTATGTTCAACCTAATTGTAGATTCCTTACATCGATACCTATAAAAGTTATCTGAATATTTCAATTAATTTCTTGCAATGCGGGATGCAGCCCGCAGATGTGTTTGGACACGCCTATCTTATTGAATGGGTTGTGCAGTTGTAGCCAATTGATGCCACATCAAGTTGCAGCTGCAACAGTAACCGCCACTCCCATTTATGGGCGCACATTTACAGTTAGCCAGTAAACGATGCCATTAACGCGCATAAACGAGCTGCAACTCTGCGCAGCTATATATATATATATATATATATATATATATATATATATATATATATATATATATATATATATACATAGCATATGTATATCTGTTTTCTATATAGTTGGTTCGTTCTGCTGGTATTATTACTTTTATTACTGTGCCAAGTGCAGCTTACTCTCGACTCGATGCTCGCTGCGCGCTCTCTCTCTCACACTTTCTCTCTCTCTCTCTCTCTCTCGTTCTGCTGGCTCTCCTGCAGCCGAATCCTTTTTTGGTACAATCCAGCATCGTTCTGTTAGCATTTTTTTGCTCCTTCGTCCTCGTTTTTGTCGTCGTTTAAGTCGTTAGCAAAGTTTTTCATCGTCGTTTTTTGCGCCTTTTATGAGTTTGTATGCAATACGAAGTTGTTGCTGCCGCTCGTGTTGCTGCAGCTGCTCCTGAAGCGCATCACCCGCAGAATCCTTTATATACAAGTGCTTGTGCCTTAATGTGTGTGTGTGTGTGTGTGTGTGCACATAGTCTTGTGCCAATTGCAGGCATTACATTGCTCGGCCTCTTTTTCTTTTTTTATCTACATATATATTTTGTAAGTCCCGCCTTTGTTCTGACTTTGATAGGGGCTCCACTCTGCGCAGGTTGGCTTACTGTAGCACTTACACATATAGATTATATATATAGATAATAACATGGTTGAGCAGAGCTCACATTCATGTTGAGCAAATATTAAGGTCAAGCCATGAACCAAATAGAATTAATTATTTAGATCAATTGCAGACAATTTAAGTATTGACAAACAATTTAACAATTTTCACAATTGTTCATAAAATTTTATAAAAATATTTAAAATTTCAAGAGACAAAATCCTGGAAGTCCTGACAAGACCAAGTCTGTATGATGCATAGCGGTCTAGTTTTTAACTGAAGTTCGTCTCTAATTCTGCAAGCAGGTTGTAAAATTAACTTGGGCAATAAAAAGCGACTGGGAAATATTTTGATAACAATCTTTTTGTCTCAATGGGAAATTTACGGAAAATGCATGACTATGAGGAAAAGGGCCGTAAAGCAACGAAGTGGCAATATCTGAAAATATCTGTGGATTTGACGCAGCATCCGGTTAGATTTGGAGTCGGAGTCGGAGTCGGAGTCAGAGAGCTAGCAGCCGGCAAAGTCGTAAAACGTAACAACAATAAAAAATAATAAATCGAAATATCCACAAAATGGCAACTGAAAATGTGCAGCGCAAGAAGGAGACGAATTGATGCAAAACAGTTCCCTGCGAGCGAGCAATGTGGCAAATGAAGCAAACGGTGGAATGTCTACCGAATCATAGAGGATATTTCGACTTGCTCTGGACTTGGGGCACACACACACGCAAGCAATTGAAATGAATGCAGAGGAGAGCATGTTGGAGCGGGGGCAAAGCCTTTTAATGAGGCTTGTGGCACAGCAGACGCAGCAGGGAAAACTGATTAGGCGTCAAAGAATGACACAGCGAAGGCAGACGACGTAGATGTTTGCCCATTGTTTGCCATTGTGCAGTTGAATATCTAGCCATGCTTTAAAGGGTCATGCTCTCGATCAAGTTATCTGCTAGACAAAGAGGTTTGTGCACTGATTGAGTGATTGACTAGCAGCAATAATTACTCATATATTAAATAAGTTGATTTAGTAATTTATTGCTAAGCACCAAAATGCTCTTAAAAGGGCCAATGATTGATTGACTGATTGATTGATTAATCACTATATCCAGTCACTATATGATTAGTCACTATATCCGAAATGGCAAATTATATTTGAAGATATATATATTTATTTCTTGAATGACTGACTGATTGATTGGTTTTTTAATTGATTAAATAAAAAAAGCAAATGCTATCAGAATTCTGAAAGGTTTCAAGTCTGATTGATGCGCTTTAACTTTCGCAACAGCTAACTTGTTATGTGCTTTGATTGACTGCAACACTTACTCAGAGTATCTTGAAAATAAAAATATATAAAAACAGCCGATTATGAAAATTTCATTGAGTATTCAAATATCTGCGAAGGTATATTTGTAGTTGATTGACCAATCATGTTTGGCATGATGTATATAGAGCTTGAATGACTGACTGATTGATTCTTAAACTATGTGGCAAGACATGTGATTGATTGATAGGCTCCGCAATTGCAAAAAGCTTATTGACACGCCCAGATTGATTGTGTAAAGAAATGATTGATCTGATATCAAAATTGTAGCATTCGCTTTCAGTCAAATTTTATTGAACATATGTCTTATTTTATTCCAGTGATCCAGTGCTCTATCAAATCTAGCAAGAAATATACATATTTGCTAATCTACTTTGAACTAAATCAATCCGTAGAGGACAGCTAGTTCAGCAAGTTGCTGTTAAAGTTAAGTTCTAAGAACTGTTCAGCTTTATAGCCATTTTTATGTGAAAGGTGTAAAGTCTGCTTGGCGCAAGGTATTTGCTGGCTTTTCTATTTGGTATTCATTGGCTTGCACTAAATCTAGCAGCCACTAACGCTTAACATGGCTTTACCTGAGCTCCTCGCTCGTTGCTCGTTTGCACCAAAGCACTGTGCCCCATTTCGGGGCATACTTCCCCCACTTTCTGGGACAGTCGTTGTGCATTCGTCAAGGAATGCAGTAAACGCTAATAAAACTGCATGTCGCATGGAAC